AAATAATAATAATAAGACAGGTAAGTACTGGGTAGTGTGGTTGAGCTATAAATCTATACAACCTTTCCAGAGAGTAATTTTGCAATATCTGTATCAAAAGCCTTACATGTATCTTCTTTGAGCTATCAATGAATCTTCACAGAATTTATCTTAAGGAAATAACTGGATAAAATGTGTTCCATTTATTCACCATAGAACTCTTTATAAGAGAAGAAACTGGAAACAAGCTAATACCCAACAGTGCAGGATGGGTTAGCAATGTAGCTGCTGTGGCACATTGCAGACTCAATGCCCTGGCAGAGTACACTGCAGTGTTACTGTGGGAAGGTATTCACAATATTCAGGGAACTTATAAAAGCAAGTAACAAAACAGACACATAATATTCATTTATTCACAAACAATTATTGAGTGCTTTGTGTGTGCCAGGTACCAAGCAACTCATTGGTAAACAAAAAGATCTGTCCCCTGCCTCCAAGGAGCTTAAGAGCTTGCGAGGGAGATAGAACAGAATTAATATCTTCCAATTTACTCTGGTTGGGATATTAAAGGCACATGCATATTGAAAGAGAGACAATTTATATGTGTATATATGTAATAATCTCACATTCCATCAGCATGGCCTACAAAGAGAACACACCCAGCTCTACGGACTAGCGAGTGGATAAGCAACTCCTTAGGCAACTGCCTAAGAACTGAAGGGTATTCATCTTCTACAAATTTTAAGAAAAGCTGTGAATTTTAAGAAATTCAGTTATGGAAAGCTATACCCTGGAAGACGGATGTGAGACATTGCAGAACCATGGCAAAAGAATTGGGGCAAACAGTTTCCATTGCTTCTAATTCAAAACCAAGTTGAGCAAATAACTGTTAGCCCAGTGCCTATTTCTTTTTTTTTTTTAATTGTTTTATTGCTTAAAGTGTTACAAAGAGTATTAATATGTCTCTTCCTCCCCCCCCCCCCCCACCGCCCTTGACAATCCCCTGGCCTCCCCTACCCCCCAGTGTCTTATGTCCATTGGTTATGCTTATATGCATGCATACAAGTCCTTCGGTTGGTCTCTTACCGCCCCCCCCTTCCTGCCCCCCAACCCTCCCCGGCCTTCCCGCTGTAGTTTGACAGTCTGTTCAAGGCTGCTCTGCCTCTGTATTTATTTTTGTTTACCCTCCTCTGCTATACTTGGGTCTGACAAATAATGAAATCTCCCTACAAAAGAAACAGTTCACAGTTAGGGTCACACACCAAGGATTCTAACATTATATGTTCATTTCTTTTAAACTTATGCACCAAAATCAGTGAAGTTATGAGGCTCATTAATTACAACAGGAAAATTTTTCACTTTAGAGCACAGAAGGATGTCAGACACCACCTCAACCAAGAGACCAACCAATGATACACGTGCATCCCAATACAATGCACAAACTCACCACTGTGGCATTCTTGCCAAAAATGCTTAACCCTCAACTTAATAATGAAGATCAGGCAAATCCAAACCAAGGAACATTCTACACAATAACTGACCAGTACTCTTCAAAAGGTCCTGAAAGATAAAGAAATCTGAAAGGAACTGTCACCTAGAAGACACTAATAGACATGATAACTAATACTGGTTTGGATCCTGGATCAGAAAAAGGACAGCAGTGGTGAAACTCGAATGAAGACTTTAATTAACAACCGCCTGGTCTCAATGACTACACTATGGTTACAGAAGATGTTAACAAAGGGGGGCAGGCTGAAAGGTATATATCAACTCCCTGGACTATTTTTGCAACCCTTTTGTAATTCTAAAATTATTTCAAAGCAAAAAGTTTTTAAAAATCATCTCAGATGAATGATTTTTTAAAAAAGTATAGGATACCACTTATTAACTCTAACATAAAAATATATTATCTCCTCCAGTAATTGTACTAAAAAAAATCCAATAATTACAGATGAGGCTTAAGTTGGAATTTTTATTCAATAAAAACCTGCAGTTGGGATAACTAGAGAACAGAGTAACTTTCCTAGGGCACTGAAATCTCTCCAAATAAAGAAACTACCTTATTTCCACCCCTTACTCTTTTTTAATTGAATTCAACTTTCATTTATTTAACATCTACTATGGGCATGTAACTGTGCTAGGGCCTCATGAGATTTTGATATATAAGAAAGGATCTCTATTTTAACACACAAGATAACAGAAATGCATCACATAACAAAACTGGAAGTAATTGATGTTCACTGCTAAACAATCTGGCAATCGATCTGGACACCCTCTTTACTGTCAGTGTTGATAAGACTGAGGACCCTCACAACTCAACTGTGTCCCCTTCAACAATAACATGTTCTGACCTCTAAAATTATCTACAAAAATTATCCTTGAAAATGACTCGCTCTGACAATCCATTTCTAGTCCTTTTTTTCATCTAAGCATTTTGATATTGGTGCCTTGTTTGTAACTCAAAATTTAAAAACGTGAATCTCAGCCCTGGCCGGTTTAGCTCAGTGCACAGAGCGTCAGCCTGAGGACAGAAGGGTCCCGCGTTCGATTCCGGTCAAGGGCACATGCCCAGATTGCAGGCTGGATCCCCAGTAGGGGAGTGCAGGAGGCAGCCAACCAATGATTCTCTCTCATCATCGACATTTCTCTCCCTCTCTTTCTTCCTCTCTCCCTCTCCTTTCCTCTCTGAAAGCAATAAAAATATACTTAAAAAAGGAAAAAAGAAATAAAAATGTGAATCTCTGAGTACCAGGGAAAAAGTTAGGCTGGCATAGACCCATGGAGGTTTACTTACTCTCTTCTTAGATCAAAAATGATGTGTGAGACTATGTTTTTCAAAGTGTGGTCTCAGAGCCAGCAGCTTCAACAGAATTCAGGAACTTGTCAGAAATGCAAATTCTCAGTCCCAGCCCAGACTACTGAATGAACCTGTCAGGACTCTCTTTTCACAAGCCCCCAAGGTGATCCTGAAGCACTATAAGTTTGAGAATCAATGAGGAAAGAACAGAACGGCCAGACAGCAAATCAGCAGGCCAGATTCTAATCCTTGCTCTGCCACTAATCTCTGGGATAGATTTGTCACTTAGCTTCTGTGGAGCTCAGCCTCTCTATCAGACAATGAGGGAACTGTAATAGATCAATGCCAGTCCTCATGCCCTCATTGATAACTCTGTGAGGGCATTCATTCCTATGAGGCCTAAAAGTGAAAAGAGCACCACTGTGCGTCACCACTTAGTTCTTTTGTTAAAATGAAACAAAATTTCTTCATCCACTGGTTTCTGAATCTTATTTAATAACTCTAAAATAAATAAAATTGTGTTTTCTTTAGTAAAAGCCATATAATGCTAATTTCACAGTTTCCTATTTAGTTCTCTATCAAGTCTATTTTGGAGGAATTCATTACACATAACAAAAATTCCAAGAAACCCATCTACCACAGACTCAAAAGTCATATGTTGCAGTCCTAATTCCCAATGTGATGGTCTTTGAGGTGGGGCCTTTGGGTGTAATTAGGTTTACATGAGGTCATTGAGGGTTGGCTCCCAAAGATGGGATCAGTATCCTATGAGCGACAGACAGACCATAGTTCTCTCTTGCTCTCTGGCATGTGAGGACACAGCAAGTAGGTGTCATCTGCAAGGCGGGAAGAGCCCTCACTAGGAACCTGCACCTTGATCTTAGACTTTTCAACCTCCAGAACTGTGACAAATAAATGTCTGCTTTCTCAGCCACCCAGGCTATGGTATTTAGTTACAGTAACCCAAGCTGACTAAGACACACCCTCAAATGTCCCCTCTGGTGTGGGAATTTAACCCAAATCATAGTTCCGAACTGTGCTCCTCTCCGTAAACAATATGTGTGACCCAACCACAAAAAGCATTTAACAAGTATGGAAAATAAAGAACTTAAAAAGGCATAGATCTAGAAACTTCCATTACTGCCTAAGAAACATTAAGTTTCATTTAATCTCCTCATAGATTTATAAACTGGGATTCTTCTCACAACTTGCAAAACGAATCTCAGAGATGGGGGGAATCAACTTAGAAGATCAGAGAGTTCTCCTGGAAGAAAACAAACTTAATAAGGTTGAATATTGGGGGAAATGTCCCATCAATCAAATGAATACCCACTGATTCTTGAGACTCAAACAGGTATCCTGCAAGCTCTCACCACTCCTTTCAAGCAATCAGACACACTGTCCTCTGTGCTTCTGTATCTCCATTTCAGCACTTTCAAGAGGCATCCTCTTCGTGTATCTGCCTCCTCAACCAGACCTAGAAATCATCTAGAGCAGTGTGTCACTCTCTCCCGCACCTAGAACGATGTCTGGAATAGAGCAGGAACTAATTTTGTTTCAGTGTAGCCACTGTACTGAATACCAGTGAAACTGTGTCCTATCTTGCAGCTTTTCTGTAAATCTTAAATCATTCCTAAACAGCTTTTTTTTTTAAGGCACCAGTAGCAACAGTTAACAGCAATAATCACAACTGCCTTAGGTATCAGGCAAGAAAACATTTGCTACTCGAAACCCCTGCCTTAACATTTTTCAGACGTGCCAGAAGGAGTCTGTCATTTCACATGTAGCAAACTTGAAAAAGAATGAGTAACAAACACCTTGAGATTTGAATCCTGATGTTAACTTTGGTCAAAGTATTTAATCTGGTTCTCACTTGGCAAAAAAGGGAATACTAATTCCTACTAGGTTGCTGTGCTCTCCTAATGATGCTCTAATCCACACGCGTGGGCCCTTCCCTATAGATCTATATGGTGTTCCAAGTGGACTAACACCTCACCGCAAAGCACGCCAACACTGTACGGCGATCCACCGGCACAGACGGTGAAGTTACACCCCAATCACCATTAGGACTATGATTACCTATAAAACAAAGAAATCCCACATGTGTGTTTATGGGTGTCCAGCCTGACAACATAGCCTATTCCAGAACTCCCCAATGAAATACATGGGCTGTTCGAAATGCAACGCAACCGACAGGGGTCAGCAGCTCCAGGCGCCCGGCTCACTGAGGTCCAGAGAGCGGCAGGCACACGCGGGACAGCTCGCGGGCTGGGAGCTGTGCAGCTGCGGGGACCGACGCGCGGCCCGAACCGCGGCGTGCGGCAGCCCGCGGTCTCCCTCCCAGGGCTGGGGCGGGGGAAAGCCCAAGAGCCCGGGCCCCAGCGTTAGCCACGGCGACAGTGATCACAGCGTGGGGCCGCTGCCAGCCCAGCGTCCTTAACGGAAGGCGGTAGGGTGGCAGCTAGGGAGGCCGAGTGGGCGGGCGGCTAAGGAAACCACCGCCCAGGCTACCACCGCGGGCGGCTCCGCTCGGGCGTGTTTGGGTCTGTTCCGGAGCCAGCGGGCGGTCAGAGGAACCGCTTCAGCGTTGACATCCCGTCGCCGCGGGAAAACCGAAGCCCGCGGGTGCACGTGAGCCTGCCCGGGGCTGGGAGCGGAGCAAGCAGGGGCGGGAGGGAGCGGAGGCCGGCGGTGGCGAGCACCGGCGGGCGTGTGAGGGGCGAGTCTGGGAGGCGTCGGGAGGGACCGGCGAGCGGGAGGGGCGGAGGCGGGGGGAAGGGGGAGGAGGAAGAGCGAAGGGCCCTGGCGGGGCTCCCGGCGTCCAGCCGCCGGCGCCCCGGCCCGCAAGCCACCGCCCCCAGGCCCCGCGCTGACGCTGGACGGTCCCCGCCTCCAAACCCCCCGCCCCGGCCAGACAGTAACTTACCTGTTTGCCGACAGGATCGCTCCTGCTGCCCCTACGACTGACTCCTCCGGCTCACCGTCTTCCCTCTGGGAGGAAGGGGCGGGACATCCTGCCTTTCCGTTGAGCGACTTCCGGCGGCTCCCTGGACAACTCCGTCGTGAGCCGACCGCCGGACGCTACAGCCAAAATACAGGATCTCGGGACCGGTTTAGTAAAACCCACTCCAAGTACCCTTTTTCTTTGCCTCGAATGGCCAACGGGTTCGTGTGCCGTCTTGTTTTCGGTACATCATCGCTTGCCGGAAGTCGCTCGGAGATGAAGCCGGAAGTCCCACCTCTCCCCTAGAGAAAACGGAAAGCCGAGGGAGTCAGTCTAAAGGAGAGACCGTGGTCCGGCTGGGAAGCTGGCGGTGACGGCCGGGGTGGGCAACCTGGGACTTAGAAGGTCCGCGAGCGGGTTCCTCCCGGGCGACTCTGCCTCCGCGTCCCCTCCCCTCTCCAACCACCTCGCCGCCCGCCTTGGGAAACCCCGAGGGTGACGCGGAGAAGCCGACGCCCCGGGCGCTGCGAAGGCCTGCGGGGCCTTGACCCGGCCGGAGGGGTGCCGCTGCCGAGGCCCTCATGTAGAGGACCCAGCAATTTCTGCTGGGCCAGGCGCGTGCGCCCCTCCAGATTAAGAGAAAAAGCTCTCCCGAGACTCAGATTGGAGTCCTCGCAGTCACAGGCCGAAGGGAGTCAGGAGCCGAATTCCGAGGCAAAGGAGTTCAGTGTGGTGGTTCAGTTGGGCAATAAGAACCGAAAACGCCCCAGCGTGGACTGTTTGTGAACGTTAACGGCACAAGGATTGGCCGAAGAAAGACACTGTGCGCCCCAGTCACAGCCCCTCTGCCCCTTGTGCAGGAGCATCTAGGGCTTCGAGTCTAGAACCTCAGGACCCAGGAAGGAAGACCAAGTGCAAGGACAGCAGCACCTTATCTAGAGACCTGGGGTTAGATGGTGACGAATTCTAACTTCTCTTGCAGACAGGGGCACCTGTTAATCAGAATTGTATTTAGGAAGATAAAGTGAGTAGGCTTTGAAATAATGCCCTTATAGTAATAATGATAGGCTTCCTACCCACATCATCTCTCACGGCCAATTTCAACTCAGTGCTATTTAAATCAGACTAATTAAGATAGATCCGTGATTCAACTGGTGTGTGGCAAGAATTTTTAAAACATGCAATACCGGACTAGTCAGGGGCACTGACCTCTTTTCCCTTTGATTCTCAAATTAAAAAACGGGGACAGCCAACAGGCGCCCAGCACACTGAGGTCCAGAGAGCGGCAGGCACACGCAGGACTGGTGTGAATGAATCAGAATTACATGTATGTTTTTTGTCCCTGTGCTGCAGAACTTTAGTCATTAGTTTATGTGTGCCATGAGATGAAAAAGGTAAGTCGCTGGGATAGAGAGCTTCTTGCAGACCTTATCTGAATCCTGAATAGAATCCGAATGAATGCTCAAGCCTTCCACGGCAGGAAAGGGCTGTTTAGAAGCATCAACCTTCCCAAGATCACACAGCTAGTAAAAGTAGGACTTGGCTCTAAACTCCGCAGTCAGACTTCCCCACTCTACCATACTGACTCAGTAATTGTCCATTAAAAACTATAGAAACTTGGAAAACAGGTTTCTCAGAACAGGTGATCAGCTTGTCAATGTTATATCTGTTTCGTTAATGTTTACTGGATGCCTATTGAATGAAAGATAATTAAAACTAAATTTGGTCTTCAGAGTTCCCTAGAAATGTACTTGAAAATGTAGTGCTTATAAATAAAATGTTTACCATCTATTTCAACAGTGTTAGTCTTGTATGACAAGGTGATAAACATCGATATGATAAACTTCTTCATATGGAGAACTTAGCACAGTTCTCCATATGAATTGGGCATTCTGTTGGTCTTCAGGTGCTGAATCTTGCAACCTTTCTCACCTTAGGGATTTAGTTAACAGTTCATCTTCTTTGAGCAGTGAAGTAGAATCTGAGTTGATTTTTCAGTTCCATTATGCATTATTTTGCAGAGACAGGACCATTTACATCATAATGTCACCTTAAGGAAGTCAATTTAACCTTTTCCTCATGTGTAAGATGAGTTATGTAGGGTAAAGTTCCCTTTTGAAATTCTATTAATAGAAAAGGCTCTAAAATTTCTAAATCATACTAGTAGGGTATAATAATATTACTCTTATAAAGGACTTTGTTAGATAATACTAATAGTGATGATGGCTATTGTTTATTAAGCATTTACTATATTCATGCAGGGCTCTAGAAAAACCCAGGAATATAGAAAAATTTTGATATGGTTTTTGTGTGTCTCATCAGGAAAGTTTATATATATATATATAAAAGAAGATCCAGGTGTATTAATTTATATAATTGTTATAAGATTTATATACTATAATTATTTTTATTATATTGTATTTTATTTATATTTATATTACATGTAAATGTTTGTAAAATCGTGGGGCTTTTTAAAAAATTATTTCTCCCCACACTTTTATGTAGCCACAGGACAAGAATTTTTAATTTGTGTTTGCAGTATTGCTATAAAGCAAGAGTAAACCAACACTTCTCTTTCGTTTAGCATTTGAATGGATGGAGGCCCCAGGGAGAGGAGGCCAAGCAACTTTTCTGGACTGAGATGGCAGCCCAGGCAAATGTAGGCTGTTTATGTGAAACTCGTGGAGCCCTTGTGGCTTGCTCCAAGGTTCCACTCCTTCCATTGACTGGACAGAGCTGTTGGTCCCCCTCCCAATGTTGGAGCTCCCAATCCACCACTTTTCTCTGAAATGCAGCTTCCCATCCATTGTGTTTCAACTTGCTCTCTGCATTGACTAATGTTTTCTAATATTGCAGACAAGTTTTCTTAAAGCACTATTTATCCTTGCACCTGTACCTGATGCCTCCTCTCCCCCCCCAACCCCCCCCCCCCCCCCGCCCCATCATCTTAGACTGCTCCAAGTGAGGAGAATTTTATCTGGGTGATACAAATAATGTTCTACATTATAGTTTTACATGCAATAATCTGTCTTCATAAATGTTTCCACAGCACTCCTCAGTCAGAGTTGGAGCTATTCCCAGGGGTTGGGTGGGACCACCTTTAAGTTGAGGATTATCCTCAAATCCATCTGCCACAGGATAAGAAGGTCTAGGTTATAGTTCTTTCTTTGCCACAAATTAACCTAAAAAAATTGGAGTTTGACATTCAGTTGTTGTCAATTCAAGTGTGTGGATTTGCCTGGCTGTCATGGCTCTGGTGGGGTGTTGACCTATGAACCAGAAGGTCACGGTTTGATTCCTGGTCAGGGCACATGTCCGGGTTGCAGGCTCCATCCCCAGTAGGAGCCGTGCAGGAGGCAGCTGATCAATGATTCTCATCGATGTTTCTATCTCTCCCTCTCCCATTCTCTCTAAAATAAATAAGAAAATATTTTTTTTAAGTGTGTGGATTTATCGGGGTGTGCTAAGTTTGTATTACGCCCTCTCCATGCTGCCTTTTCTGCAGTGGCCCTGCCCATCAGCATCTCCAGCGATAGAGAAGTGGCCAATGAGTAGATATTACTTATATTTGACCAGAGGAATCTAATGGAATATTAAGGAAAGATAACAAGCACACATAATTGGTGGAAGAGATGGTTAAACCATTTAAATTTTCATATTTATTCTAATACTTCTGCCATAAAAAATTAGTTACTTGAGTAGAATGAAGAACACAAATTTCCCAATTGCTTACTGCCTTCCTCATATTTAGTTTTAAACTGCTGGTCTTGCCCTAGCTGTTTTGGTTCAGTGGATAGAGCATCGGCCTTCAGACTGAAGGGTCCCGGGCTCAATTCCAGTCAAGGGCACATGCCTGGGTTGTGGGCCCGTTAGGGGGCATGCAGGAGGCAGCCAATGAATGATTCTCTCTCATCATTGAGGTTTCTATCTCTCCCTCTCCCTTCCTCTCTGAAATCAATAAAAAATATATTTTTTAAAAACTTCTGGTCTTTAATTAAAGTAAATATAAATGGAACTGTCACTACTATTCACTAACCAGAGAGCCAACTCAGTTCTGTTATAATAGTACTATCTCTCCAACCACCCAATGTCCTCATTTCCATTGGGAGTTTCCATTGGTCTGATTAAGGACTAGTTTTCTGATTCTAAGGGTGGAATTCAGAGCAAGGATTCCTCTGGATGAGTCATGTCTGACATGAATAGTGCACAGACACCTGGTGAAGGCCTAGGCCTCTCAGTGAGACAGCCTGGGTCAGGACTCCAGCTAAGCCAGCACTGTTGGGACCCTTCCACTCAAATTAGTCAAAAAAAAAAGGTCTGTTATTATCTGTCAGGTTTTCTTTTACTTGCATCAAGAAGCAACATAAATGATACAGAAGGATTATTACCAAATCTATCATAGTAGCAGTCTAAGAAAGTATAAAGGAAAAATTCAGAGCAACTTTTCAAAATTCATAAGTAAAATATGTATACACTATCATATATGAGGAAATAAAGCAATAGACATACATCATTTTCTAGGTATATGTCATTTTTCCTATTAGATAATGAATAGTAAACATTTTTACAGTAGTAGGTTGGAAAATTAAAAGGAGAATGTACAAAAGAAGATATACCAACTTCCATAAATGACAGGCATTATGCTAAAACCTTAAATGCAATATCTTATTACCTCTCTAAATAGGGATATTATTTTCATTTTACAGGTAAGGAAAACAAAGCTCAAAGAGATGTCATGTTCTCTGGTTCTGTCCATATTGGGTAAAGTTGGTGACTATTTCCCCCTTCAATGTCCCAAATTCACACATAGACTACTCCTACCAATCTGGTCCTGTGGCTAGGATGCAATCCCAGTAAAGAGGTTCCTTAGGAGGAGGGAGAGAGCTGTCCCTATTTTTTTTCTCTTGAATGCCAATAAAATATACATATTACACATCTTGATATTATACACAGTGCATTGAAGGTGTCTTTTATTTTTCATTCTTTTTTTTTTCCTCTCAGACCTGCAGATTGGATCATTTCTGTTTATCTAATATGTTCCCTGATTCTTCTGTCATCTCTAAACATCTATTCAAAGCAGCTAGTGGTTTTTTTCCTTATTTCTCTGTGATTAAGCTATGTTGATTTTCTCTTGATTATGAATCCTGTTTTCCTCTTTCTTAAATGTCTAGTAATTTTGATTTGTATCCTAGACATCTGAGTAATTGGTAGAGATTCTGGATTCAGTTATGTTCCTCCGAAGAGGCTGATGGTTGTTACTGTTCTAACAGACAGTTATTTGGGCTGTATTCATCCTCCCTCAGCCTTAGCTTGGAGGCTTTCATCTGCTTCACACAACCATAGTTTAGAAGTCATCCAGAGATTTAGGCAGAATATGCAGAATTTGGTGCTTCCCCTCTGGGACTCTCCTTTTTAGAACTGCCCCCCCCCCCCACCCGCCGCCCGCCTCACTTTGTGCTGATATAATAGGCCAGAGCTCTGCCTTCTGGTTCTTCAAATGGGGTTTTAAACAAAGTTAGGTAACCTCCTTTATTTGATTATAATTACATAAAATTTGAAATGAAACATTGAGGTCATTTGGGGTGACTAATTTTTGATGACTAACTTACTTTAATAGTGTCCTTTGAAGCTCTAATTTCCTTTAAATTAGCATTTTCTGTCATTACATTCAAATGCCCACCTACAATAACAGCGATGGTATGCTATGAACACTTAACCACCCACGCTAGAATTTTAAATATAAGTTCTTTTTAAATGTCTTTTGGTGAATTTTAGTGTGGGAGGTGAAATGATTTAAAACTTCATATTTTCTGTTATACTCAAAGGCATAATTTATCTGACATCTTTTCTCATTCTGAATAAGAAATTACACTAGAACAGTGATTTTTAAGTATAATTTTTCCACATAATGACAGTTTTTTTCTTCAAACTACCCAAATTTAAAAAGCTCAGAAGCATTTATTTACTTACCATAACTGTTAAGAAATTATAGTCATTACACCTACCATCCATTCTCTTTCACATCATGCTGAAAAAAATTTTAAAAGAAAAGAAACATCACTTTGCTGCAGAAAACCTCCTGTATTTCTGCCTTTGTCTTTCATCAATTGACTGAACTTTGGGATAGCTGAGGAAAGTATAGAATGTACTCAGCCCAGCCCCTGCCTCCCAGGACTTGCTTCCTAGAGAGGAAAGTTCTTTTCAAGACAGTGAGGAGGAAGGTTATCTTTCTTACATGTTAAGTGCTCTACAAAATTAAAGGTAGATGTTACCGTGTTGGTCAGTGGGAGAACAGAAGGAAAATGTACAAGTGTTAGGTCTTGGTTTATATTTTATTAGAGGTCCAGTGCATGGAAATTCGTGCACTGGGTGGGGGAGGAGGTCCCTCAGCCCAGCTTGCACCCTCTCGTAGTCCGGGACCCCTTGGGGGATGTCCAACTGATGACTTAGGCCCGCTCCTTGGGGGATCAGGCCTAAGCTGGCAGTTAGACATCTCTCTGGCAGCCCAGGAGGCCTCGAGGGATGTCCACCTGCTGGCTTAGTCAGACATCCTTAGCACTGCTGTGGAGGCAGGAGAAGCTCCCGCCATTGCTGCTGTACTGGCCAGTCATGAGCCAGCTTCTGGCTGAGTGGCGCTCCCCTGGTGGTCAGTGCATGTCATAGTGACTGATAGTTCCCGGGAGTTCTGCTGTTAGGGTCAATTTGCTTATTACCCTTTTATTATATAGGCTTGCTTGTTGCCATGGTAGGGTAGCTCAGTTGGTTAGACCAGTGTTCAGCAAACTGCGGCTCGCAAG